GAGCCTGCACCCACCACCCCCAAGGAGCCTGTACCCACCACCACTAAGAATCCTGTACCTACCACCCCCAAGGAGTCTACCACCACCAAGGATCCTGCACCCACCCCTCCGGAGGAGCCAATACTTACCATACCCAAGGAGCCTGTACCTACTACACCCAAAGAGCCTGCACCTACTACTCCCAAGAAGCCTGCACCCATCCCTCCAGAGGAGCCTGTACTTACCACCCCCAAGGAGCCTGCACCTACTACACCCAAAGAGCCTGCACCTACTACCCCCAAGAAGCCTGCACCCATCCCTCCAGAGGAGCCTGCACCCACCCCCCCCCCCGCCCCCCCCCCCCCCCCCCCCCAACAACCCTGCCCCCCCCCCCCCCAAAGAGCCTGCACCCACCCCCCCTGGGGAGCCTGCACCCACCAACCCCAAGGAACCTGCACCCACCACACCCAAAGAGCCTGCACCCACCACCCCCAAGAAGCCTGCTCCTACTACTCCTAAGACACCAGCTCCAGCTACCACCATGGAGCTTCCCACTACCCCCAAGACTCCTGCTGAAGCAACTCCTGAGTTTTCTGCAGGACCCACACCAAAAGCTCCTGACAACAGTGCCAAGGAGCCCACTGTACCAACAACCAAGACTCCTGAAGTGACAACCGCTGCTGTACCTAAGATTACAACAAAAGAGACAGCAACCACAGCAGAAGAAAAAACAACTGAATCCGAAATAGCAAGGACCACCATGCAAGTAACACCCACCACTCAGGATTCATCATTCAAAACTACTACTCTTAAAACAACACCAACTGAAGAGAGTAGGAACGAACCCGAAGAATCCCCTGGACCAGAAGACACAGCTACTGATTCTAAAGCAACAACTCCTAAACCCCAAAAGCCAACCAAAGCACCCAAGAAGCCCACCTCTACAAAAAAGCCACCCAAAGCACCCAAAAAACCCACTCCTACCAAAAAGCCCAGCTCTCCGAAAGGGAAAACACCAAAAACTACACCAACTACCCCCAAGACGACAATACCACCTATCTCTCCAAAAGCCGTGCTCCAAACCACCACCAGCCCTAAGCAAACTCCAGACTCAGAAACAGTTGAAGTTAATCCAAATAATGAAGATGCAGAAGGTGACAGAGGAGAAAAACCACACATGATTCCCAGGCCTCCTGTGCTAACTCCTATAGTTATCCCAGGCACTGATCACATAGTGAGAGGACCCAGTCAAGGCATCAGCTCCCACTCCCTGCTTTTAGGTAATAGAATTACTTTCATTTTAAAAACTGGTAATGTTAATTTATATCTATCTGAACTAGAATGCCCTAATTTAGTATTACTCTGAGATACACATACTATCTAGAGCCCCAAACTTTTTACAGCTTCCCTATAGGTAAGCAGACGAAAAATCCAAGTAAACTTATCCAGTCTTTAGAAAGTCAAGTAATAACCTATGGTTAGGAATTTAGCACATCCTCCTAAAAGTACATAGAATGTCAAAAAAAATTGAGGGCTGGGGATATAGCTCAGTTGATAGAGGGCTTGCCTCCCATACACAAGATCCTGGGTTCAATCCCCTTTTTCAAAACAACCCAAAGAGCAATGACTGAAAACATCAGTTCAAACATCCAATAAATGCCTAATTTATATGAAGACCAAGATAAACTTGGGCTGGGGTTCTGGCTCAGTGGTAGAGCGCTTACCTAGCATGTGTGAAGCACTGAGTTCGATTCTCAGCACCACATACAGATAAAATAAAGGTCCATGGACAACTAAAAAATATTTGGGAAAAACAAAGCAAAACAAAAACCTGGCCCAGCCTGGTACAGTGGTGCATACCTGTTATACCAGCCGAGAAAAGCTAAGGCAGTAGGGTTGCAAGTTGAAGGTTAGCCTTAGCAATTTTTTGAGACCCTCAGCAACTTAGCAAGACCCTGTTCAAAATTAAAAAAAAAAAAACCAAAAAAGAACTGGGGATGTAGCTCAGTGGTATAACACCCCAAGTTTAATCCCTAGTACCAAAAGAAAAGAAAAACAAAACCAAAAATCAAAACAATTCAACAAGATAACCTGGCCAATCCTGGTTCAAAATGTTTTTTGTTTTTTTTTGAATAGTATCATCCTTAGGTAAGATGGAATTATAAAACATAACCTTTTTTTCCCTTTAAAAACAATTTTTAGTTATTGATGGACATTTATTCATTTGTTTATGTGTTGCTGAGAAATCAACTCACACATGCTAGGCAAGCTCACTACCACTGAGCCAGCCCCCACCTTTTTTCACTTTTGAAATGTAAATACCTCAAACTGCTTTTTAAGAGCTTGGGTAAGTAGGAAGCAATCCTGTGACAGAGGATTTGAAAAGAACATAGTTTTCTCATTCAGATTACTTTTCTGTTTATTTGTTTTAGATGATACCAATTTATGCAATGGCAGACCAGTAGATGGACTGACTACTCTGCGCAATGGGACATTAGTTGCATTTAGAGGTGAGCTATGTACATACTTCTGTCTCTTCCTATTATTTTAATAGTTACAGCATTTAAGACAGCCAAAGTCTTGAGAGAGTGCTAGCAGGGTTGAACTTTCTAGAGGGGAACTTGATTGATAAACCCACTTTCACAAAGTGAGAATTCGGGAGTAATATCCCAAATATTGGATTAACAAAATCAGACACATGAAGATGTGTGGATACTATTAAGATTTTTCCTACTGTTAATATTTAAACTTCACATATGAAATGACATCAGGATTTGCAGGCTTTGCTCTATCTTTAAAAATAACATCTCACTTGTGATGCTTTCAAAGGAGTCACACTCCTTGTGAAAGAGTACCAAGAGAATAGCAATTACTATGTTTTCTGCAGACCCCCTGCTAGTCCAGTCTTCTTAAAACATATATAGATTAAATTTGAAAAGAAGCAAATCATACATAGAAGTTATGGAAATTTTAGAAGTCATTAAGTTGTTAATCCTTTAATTCTAAAAGATAAAGACACTGAAATCCAGAAAGGTGACTTTCTCTTTAAGTTACAAAGCCAAAAGTCTCTTTCTATAAAAACTATAAAACTGAAATATTTCAAAGCTTAAGTTAAATTTCAGACTTTAAGAATATTTCTACTTGGAAATATTTTAATAAGTCCCTTCTGTATCTTATTATACTTTCAGTCAGACCTATTTAACATAGTCTGTTTTTCTTTATGATTATCACTAAAGTTTTGAAAATTTTGGTTTCTTTGGGGATAGAGTTTAGTATTCAGCACATAAGTTGCCACATCTTTTTAAATTTTAGGTCATTATTTTTGGATGCTAAATCCATTCACTCCACCACCTCCACCTCGCAGAATTACTGAAGTTTGGGGTATTCCTTCACCCATTGATACTGTTTTTACTAGATGCAACTGTGAAGGAAAAACGTTCTTCTTTAAGGTAACAAAACTATACTGCTACAGAATCAACAAATAGTAACTGCAGTTTATTACAATGTAAATCACCTTAAGCTCCAGTTCAGAAGGGTTCTTCTATTTTAATGAACAGTTCTATCATCAAAATAACACAGCTTGATATTATTAATGGTATTCAAACATTCAATTAAGTTAACATCTTCTCCTTATAACTTAAATTTAAGAATGAGTTAAACATAATTTGCTCTTTTAAATATCAGGATTCTCAGTACTGGCGTTTCACCAATGATGTGCAAGATGCAGGATATCCTAAACAAATTGTAAAGGGATTTGGAGGACTAACCGGAAAAATTGTGGCAGCTCTTTCAGTAGCTAAATATAAGGACAGGCCCGAATCTGTGTATTTTTTCAAGAGAGGTATGTATTATATAATTGACAAAAATTACGAAACATTTTAAAGAATTATTACTTAGTACTGTCATTTATTACTGAGCTTACTGTCAAAAGATATCTTTAATGGCTAGAATAAAATATTTTCAATGAAAAGCTAAAAACTGAGGGCAGTAATAAGTAGTTAGATCTCTTGACATGCACATGTAGTTCATCTAAGTTTTCAGGTCACTGAGATAAAGAACATCCTCATTTACTTTTGGTTAGTTTACTTATTCAACATGTATTTCATGATTCAGTGACTGTTTTGCCATTACTAATATCTAACCATATTTTTTTTTTTTATGAAAAACAAGTTGATTTCCTTCATGCTACAAAAGCTCTTTTCCATCTTTTTCTGGGTGGATTAATATCAACTTTACATATTCTATGGTTTTCATATTCTGTATGGTTTTCTGATATACAACAGGTGGCAATGTTCAGCAGTATGTTTATAAACAGGAACCTGTTAGAAAATGCACTGGAAGAAGGCCTGCTATAAATTATTCCGTGTATGGAGATGCAGCACAGGTCAGGAGACGTCGCTTTGAACGGGCTATAGGACCTCAAACTCACACCATCAGAATTCACTATACACCTGTTGTTAGAGTTTCTTATCAAGACAAAGGTAACGTTTTAACTGTTTAAAATTCCTAAACCTGAAGTAGACGCACTAGTTCCTTATAAAGTAAACCTTATGAAACACAGATCACACTGCCCTAATAATTTAAGTTTATCGATGCAAAATATATCAATTTGCCTTAGTGAATAATCAAAAACCAGTTTATTCTTTTTATGTGTGGGCAAGGAAAGCAGTTTATTCAAGTTAACCATAGTAAGTGTCATGTATGAAGTACATCTTACCAAGAGCATTCTATACAGATCTGTAATCCTCAAGACAATCTTAAAGGTAGATTATATGCCTATCAGAGGGCAAAAACTGAAGCATTGAAATTAACATCTCACCTAAATAACAGAGCTACTCAGTGAAAACAGATAAAACCCTTTGTTTGTCAAGCTCTTTCTTAGACATTGCTTTTAAGATAATGCTTTTTAATCTGACACCTTTCATTAAAAATGCAGGTACCCTCCATAATGAAGTTAAAATGAGTACGATGTGGAGAGGACTTCCAAATGTGGTTACCTCAGCTATAACACTGCCCAACATTAGACGACCTGATGGATATGACTACTATGCCTTTTCCAAGGGTAAGTCCTTAAGGAAAATCTTAGCTGCTCAAGTTGATCTCACTTGTGAAAATATGAATATAACACCTAGTGCACTGGTGACTGAAGGTGACTTCAGATATAATTCTTATTCTAACTGCTGTTAAGGGGAGATTTTTGCTTTAATTTCAGTTAAACTGTGATGGGACTGAAATCCAGTTCTACTCTACCCTTTGTGATGTTATAACATATCCAATTACTTGGGTAAAACCGATGCCTAAAACAGTATTCTACTTCTATCATCTGGAACATTTAACAGATGCCATGAAATAAGAAGGACATTCCTGAGAAACTAATTTTATTTTGAAAAGTGCAGAAATCTAATTTATTCTTCTTATGATTCTATAATATGAATGGCATCAGAATGTATTTTTTTTTAGTTGTAATTGGACACAATACCTTCATTTTATTTATTTTTTATGTGGTGATGAGGATCGAATCTAGCACCTCACACGTGCTAGGCAAGTGGTCTACTGCTGAGCCACAACCCCAGCCCCAAAATATATTTTTTAAAAAAGGATAAAATAATTCTTTTTTCAGAAAAACTGTATTCTTAAATGCTTATTTCAAAAAGGAGAGTTGAACACTAAATTAATAAAAACATTTCTGATATTAAAAATGCTAAATGCTATATTTTACATCATCAAGACAATTTAGTTCATATATATTCTTTTTAATTAAAAAATAATTTCTCTTTCATTTAGATCAATACTATAACGTCAATGTGCCCAGTAGAACAGCAAGAGCAGTCACTACTCGTGATGGGAAGACCCTCTCCAAAGTCTGGTACAAATGTCCTTAGACTTACAGGCAAAGGAAGAGCCATCTAATTAAAATGAAGAAAAGGATGATCAATTTTGACATTGAAATACATTTTATTAATAAAGAGTGTTGAGATAAGCATACCAATTTAAATACAAAAATGTTTTTCAACTCGACAACCATTACACTAAAACAGATTTGACAATTTTATTCACAGGAACTATATAGTTTACAAACAATTTAATTAATATTTCCTCTATTTATTCCTCCTCTTCCTCCCATTGCATGGCTTACACCTGTAAAAGGAAACAATAAGAAAGAAAAAGAATAAAAAAAGAGGAATGCTTCAGAACAAAATTTCTTTTCTTTTTCTTTTTGGTACTGGGGATTGAGCCCAAGGGTGCTTAATCACCGAGCCACATCCTCAACTCTTTTTATTCATTATTTTGAGATAGGGCCTTACTAAGTTGCTTAGAGCCTCACTACATTGCTGAGGCTGGCTTTGAACCTTTGATCCTCTTGCTTCAGCCTCTTGGGCTGCTAGAATTATAGGTGTGCACCACCAAGCCCAGCTAGAACACAATTATTTCTTCTTTTTTTTTTTTTTTGGTGGGGGTAGGTACCGGGGATTGAACTCAGAGGTACTCAATCACTGAGCCACATCCCCAGTCCTATTCTGTATTTTATTTAGACACAGGGTCTCACTGAGTTCTTAGGGCTTCGCCTTTGCTGAGGCTGACTTTGAACTCGCAATCCTCCTATCTCGGCCTCTCAAGCCACTAAGATTAATTAAAGTAATGTACCACTGTGCCCGGCCAGAACACAATTATTTTCATTAAAGTATCTAAGCACCATGGATATAAAACTGTTAGTCCCACATGCTTAGTAGAAATCATTAGAATACTTAGATTAATATTTTAATTATATAATTTCAATCTGATAGTTAATCAGAAGACATGGAGATATTAAAATTTTACATTTTTGACCAACCACAACAAAGACAAAAGCTTCATTTGTTGTACAGCATAATTATTTTACAATATAAAGTAGTGATGTTACAAATGAACCCTATATACTAGATTTTTCAAATCCGACTTCAGACTTAAGGAAGAAATCAACAAAGAATAAACACACATTCCATTTTATTTCTATGGTACATACATCTGTCTAAATTTACCTCTCTGTCTGTTAAACTGACGACCTCGGACACCTTGTCTCAGTGTTGTCTGAAGTCTCACTCGTCTGAAAGGCTTTGGCTGACTACTGCTAGTATCTAAGAAAACAGAAGAAAAGCAAGTTAAAAAAACTTGTTAAATTTTTAAGAAAGCAGTTATAATGGCAAAAAAAGTTACTAAATGAATATATGGATAAAATAAAGATGTTAGCTTTCAATATTTAAGTTTGCTTTTTAACAACAAAGGGACATTTAACAAACAAAAAATGTTTAAGTAAAACAAAACAAAGCAACCCACTAAATTATAGCAAAAAAGAAAAGGTCTGACTTTTTTCATTCATACCCATGTATCAGACATGGTAGTAAATGCAGGGAGTACATTGTGAAACAAAATGTAAGGTGCTGCAGAGACAGATCATTATTAACACAACATAAGTCCTGTCTGACTCTACTCTTTTTTGAATACCTTCAATCCAATTATTAGTAAATCCTGCAAGCTTAAATTTAAATATATATCCTAAATGGGACTACTTCTTAAAAATTTTCGTCTGTAATCCTGTCCAACCCATCTTTCTTTATCCTGAATTACTGAAATAGCCTCCAAAATTTCTCCTTGTTTCTGTCCATTGCTCATTTCAGTTATATACTGCAGCCAAACTGACAGTCGATCACGCCATTACTCTATGTGAAGCCATTTGGTAGTTTTCTATACCCGAGAACCCCAAGGCAATCACAAAGATCAATTTGATCTATCCTCCTCACCCCACTGTGTCTCCATTCTGACCTCCTTGCAGACTCTGAACACATCAGACACTACTCGATGTCTTATAAATTTTGCATCTGTGATTTATTTTGATCTCAGAACACTCTTCCACCAACCACTGCACAGCTTTGATCCCCTTCCCCCTTTTTTAGGTCTTCACTAAATCTGTCTTAGTGACACTTTCTGTGAAATTGCCTGGAATATGGCAGACACTCAAGTATTTATTGACCAAATGAATAACTGCTTGGATGGGGAAGTACAGTTTACATTATCAAAGAAATTTAAAGACATCCTAATTTCATAATGAACAACATATTTTTCTCAGAGAATGCAATCTTAAAAACTAATATCAATTCTACTACTGAGAAAAAACAATTGTCATAGATCATCAAAATATAATTTGGGAGTATAGAACCTCAGTAATTTTGTTAATTATGACAGTTACATTTTTTTGAGTCTTCTGTGTACAAAATATTGATTTGTATAATTTACACACATTATTTCTAATTGTGATATTTCACAATAAGACATCCAGAAATTTAAAGCAGGTTTGCCATAAAATTTGATGTTTCCATGGCAGTTTCAGGATTCTTGCTTTATATAAAAAACTTAAAATGAAAATAATCAGGGTGGACAGAGTATTATATTTCTTAAATAATACAGGTGACTCCCTGCCTGAAAATTTTGAGACAGATATGCTACTATAATGTGTATTTAAGAGTGAAATCTGCAGAGCTGAGCTTCTTGAATTTGCATCCTGGCTTGTCTATCACTTACATGTGACCTTGAGAAGTTATTCAATCTTCCTGTATCTCCGTCTCCACATTTTTAAAACAGTGGGTTTTATACCACACTGGGTTGTTGTGAGAATCAGAAGAGTAAATATTTGTAAGAGACTTAGAATACTGCCTGAAACACAGTCATTGCTCAATAAATGCTGTTTTTTTTTTTTAAATTACAGAAATACCTTATTACAGAGATGCATAATCAAAAACATAAAAAGCCAAACTCTGTAACCGTTTACTCCAGTAAACTTCAAACATATTTTCTAAAGCAACAAAGCCCCCACCCTTCAACCATCCCTATCACATCTCATGCAGAACCCCACTATGTAGAACAAACAAAAATGAAGCTGCTGGTTCAAACAGTGGCAGTAGGTCTGGAGAACTTGTCCTTAGCACTCTCTCTAGTACATATGTCCCCTATGCCCCTGGAGCACCTCTAAGAGACCCAAAGTTTCTATAGAACATTATGGTGAAACGTGAGTGGGTCCATAGTAGCCATGTTTCTGATTATTAATGCTGGCATACTAGAATAATAATAAATATAAACAAAGTTCCCTTTAATGATAATAAAGTTGTACTGTAATCAAGAGCAGTGACTTACCTACAGAAGAACTGGAAGGAGGATCCTGGCTGGTGGAAGGGAGGTCTGACTCATCAGATGCCTGCACAGGTTCTTCTTCCTGCTGACTATCAATTTCTAGGCCTGCTTCTGAACTAATACTATCAGAAAAAAAAAAAAAAAAAGAAACAAAAATTGATTAGAAGACATAAAATGGATTCTGGAATGTTTCCTAAATTTTTCCTAGATTCTTTTTGATACTCTTTTTTTAACTAAAAATCACAGATTCTGTTAGTAGTCATATACATTTTTTAAAGGGACAGTGGAAAAATGAGCTGTTTTCCTCATTCTTTTTCTCACTAAGACAAGGACATGTTCCAATTTTAGTTTTCGTTTTTCCTTTTCTGAGGAGGGGGACAGTTAACAAGGATGTTTTATATTTTTGACACTTAGCTCTCATATTGATAATCAGCATTGATAATCTATTATATAGATTTTGACAAACCCCAAAATACTTTTTAAGGAAAGCAGAGTACTAAAATAATTCACAAGTCATAAGTTTTATCAATATACCAGTAAACCACCATGGGCTGTCGTTCAGATAAGACAGGTTATGGGGATGTGAAATTCTTTGCTCAATGGCTATAATTCCATCTTTCTATCTCATTCAAAAAACAAGTGAGGGAGATAGAGTGAAAGAATAACGATGTTGAATCTCCTCCAGTTTCATCATCTGCAAATATTCGTACAGTTATTAGTAACAATTTACCTGAGAGACATCTCTGAGGATGGTGTGCCAATGCTGGTGAGATGTAAAGAGCATGGGGCTAAAATCAAGGCTTCAACTCTTACTTAGCATCAGCTGGTTACCCAGGAGTACAGCCTAAGCAAATATATTTTCACACAGCTGAGTCTGATCTTTACCATTTATATTAATGGAAAATAATATTCTGCAGGAATATTGTGTAGATTGGAAATGACATATATAAAGTGGCCTACTGGAAGTATGGAGTTAAAATTAACTAGTGCTCTCAGTAGCATCTGTAACCTCCTGATAATCAAGTAGAGATTAACACAGATCTGTATTATACCTAAAAGACTAGACTTGGCTTATCTGAAATGTTTCAAAATAAAACAAAGTCCTAGCTTTTCCTCAGGAAATTTGGGTTCTACTGCTTCTTATACTTCTGACCATGAAGTAGTTGACCTTTTTCCTTTTATAAAGAACTAGGTTCCAGCTTGAAAGTTAATTTGTCTAGGCTCCTTTCATTAAATTACTCCCTTTGGATTAAAAAAAAAATACCTGCCATCAAATACTTTCTTTGTAAAGCCTTCTTTATAACTGATGTGTTAAAAATGTTGTAATGTCTTGAAAACTACCAGAAAATCTTTAAATTTTATGAAACCAGTATTTCAGACACCAAAGTCTAAAAGCTCGTAAATAAAGAGTGAGAATTATTTGAGAGCCCACTACTAAATGGAAAGTGAGTCATTTCCTAATATTCCCAATTTTCACAGATAGACTTCTTTCTTGGAGAGCAATTCAAGCAGCTATAACAGAAGGGTACCAGTACTTTTAAAGAAATATTATTTTTATTTACATTATGCAATTTTCAGGGAGATAATGGTCTTAAAAATTGCCTCCTATAACAATCTCCAAGTTCTAAATATACTTTTATATCCAAAATAGCTTTTCAAAATATGTGATTCAGTTTATTTTTTTATGTAGTAAGATGATGTTGAAAACTGAGCACAACAG